GAATATAGAAATGTAAGGCATTGCAACATTTCAAAGACACCTGATTGGGCGACGGGCACATGCAATGCTGAATGTATCGATGATGATGTACTGTGCCGAGGGCTGTGCTGTGCTACGCCGTGCTGAACTGCGATGTGCCATGCCGCGATTGTGCTCCATCTATAGCGTTGTGGATCGAGTCCTCCCTGGTATCCGAGTCCTCACCGAACTGATCTGGAGCGTAAGCTCGAGCTGCCTGAGCAGATGGTAGCTGCCTCAGAACTAATCGACAGAGGGAACATGCCAGGAGGACGCGCCGCGGAACGTCCCAAGGGACGCGCCAGGCGACGTGGCAGGGGACGTGCCATGGGCACGCACCGCGGGACGTGCAAAGGGGACGCGCTACGGAACGTGCCAATGGACGTGCCGAGGGACGTGCCAGGGGACGCGCCGCGCGACGTGCCAGGTGGACTCGCCACGGAACGCGCCAAGGAACGTGCCAAGGTGCATAGTTGAGTGTATCGATCTTGATGTACCGTGCCGACGGCTGTGCTGTGCTGGGCCGTGCTGAACTGCGATGTGCCATGCCGCGATTGTGCTCTATATATAGCATTGTGGATCGAGTCCTCCCTGGCATCCGAGTCCTCACCGAACTGATCTGTGTCGTAAGCTCGAGCTGCCTGAGCAGATGGTAGCTGCCCCAGAACTAATCGACAGAGGGAACATGCCAAGAGGACGCGCCGCGGAACGTCCCAAGGGACGCGCCAGGCGTCGTGCCAAGGGACGTGCCATGGGCACGCACCGCGGGACGTGCCAAAGGGACGCGCTACGGAACGTGCCAATGGACGTGCACTGCGCGACGTGCCAGGGGGACTCGCCACGGGACGCTCCGCGGAACGTGCCAGGCAACATGCCAGGCTGCAATGCTACGGGTATCGATATTGATGTACCGTGCCGAGGGCTGTGCTGTGCCTGGGCGACCTGGACACGTGAAAACACGCGTTTCGCTCAAGACGTTGTCAGCACATCCTCATGCTAGACATCCGCTGGGCAACCTGGACACGTGCAAACAAGCGTCTCGCTCGAGACATCCTCAACAAATGCTCATGCTAGACATCCGCCTGGGCGACCAGGACACGTGAAAACAAGCCTCCGGTTCGAGACATCCTCAACAAATCCTCATGCTAGACATCTGTCTGGGCCACCTGGAGGCGTGAAACCAAGCGTCTCGCTCAAGACATCCTCAAGACCTGGGCACGTGAAAACAAGCAATCCACTTGAGAGAGCCTCAGAATTCAGGCCCCCAGGAGAGAACAATCTATAACACAAAACAAGCGTTTCGCTCGAGACATCCTCAACAAATTCTGAAAAACAAGCGTTTCGCTCGAAACATCCTCAAATTTTAATTCGCCGGCCCTACGCGACCTCGTTATTTATCGCAAAAGAAATTCGCCGGCCCTACAGCCGTCAGATCCGGGGGTAAACCTCTGAAAGAGAACCCTGGGCCGACGCACTTTCCGGGAAAAAACGGTATGCAACGGTGGGGGGGTCAACAATGATTATTCTTCCGAAATGAGAGTTCTTCTTCTTCTTCAGCAACAACATCAACAACAGCAACAACAACAACAACAGCAGCAACAACAACAACAACAACAGCAACAGCAACAACAACGACGATGACGACGACAACGACAACGACAACGACAACGACAGCGACAACGACAACACCAACAACAGCAACAACAACAGCAACAACAACAGCAACCATAACAGCAACAACAACACCATCAGCAACAACAACAGCAACAACAACAGCAGCAGCAACAACAACAACGACGACGACAACGACAACGACAGCGACAGCAACAACAACAGCAACAACAACAACAACAACGACGACGACGACGACAACGACAATGACAACGACAACGACAGCGACAACAACCCCAATAACAGCAACAACAACAGCAACAACAACAACATCAGCAACAGCAACAACACCATCAGCAACAACAACAGCAACAACAGCAACAGCAACAACAACAGCAACAGCAACAACAGCATCAACAACAACAACAGCAACGACAACAACGACGACGACGACGACGACGACAACGACAGCGACAACGACAACACCAACAACAGCAACAACAACAGCAACAACAACAGCAACAGTAACAGCAACAACAACACCATCAGCAGCAACAATAACAACAGCAACAACAACAGCAGCAGCAACAACAACAGCAACAGCAACAACAGCATCAGCAACAGCAACAACAACAGCAACAACAACAACATCAACAACAACAACAACAATCACTTTACCCGAACGCTCAGTGTTCTCACCAGTGCCAGGGTTTTCATGCGACGCCAGCCAATACCCCCACTTTGTGGGGGGGCAGTGCAAGCTCTACCAAATATCCACACGACTCTTCGCCACCACCCACACCCAGCTTCCCGCCCTATGACGTTCGGACACTTCACTTCGTGGCCTGCGGACGACCGTGGCTACTACACTGGCGTGGAGTACACACCCACAGAAGTTGTTAGGACAGCGCGCGCGGGTAGAAATTTTGAAAAGTCGTGCAGGTGTTTTTCGAGGACCTACGGTGCGATTCGTGTGATTTTATGATGCGCGGTGCTAAAATTCTTAAGAAGCCCAATGGTTTTTGGAGATTTCGGCGTGCGCGCGCGAAGAAAAAACGAATGTGTCCCGCATGGTATTATTTGACAGGGATGATGGCCCTGGCAGGTGCGCAACCGTTGTCGCAGAAGTTCGAAAAAGTTGCTCGCAAAAGCCCGTTTGACAGAAATGTTTAAAAAGTGTTGGGTTTCCTACGAATCCGCAAGAGCGCGCGGGATGAGATTTTGACAATTTTTTGTTGAAAAACCATTGGTTTTTTGATGTTTTTATGTTAAAATCGCTGCGAACACTAAGGTTTTGGAAGGATTTCGTCTTGCGCGCGCGAATGTCCACTTTACCTTATTTTTTGCAAGGGATTCTTGAAATTTGATTATATTAGAACAAGAAATGTCATTTTATAGTGTTTTTTGCAAGGGAAAACGGATTACAACAAAACAACCGGATCTGGATCACATCGTTTTACCTGAGGCTTCCTCACGAAAATGATGAAAATGTAGCTGCGGCCTAGGCGGCGCAGGGGGGGCGTGCACCAGGGGGCCCAACAATAATTATTCTTTAGAATAAATAATGTTCAACAACAACAACAACAACAACAACAACAATTACTAGCACGTGGGGACACTCCGTTCTCACCAGTGCCAGGGTTTTCATAGGAGGCGGGCAATACCCCCACTTTGTGGGGGGGCCGGTTCAAGCTCTACCAAATTTCCAAACGACTCTTCGCCACCACCCACACCCAGCTTCCCGCCCTATGACGTTCGGACACTTCACTTCGTGGCATGCGGACGACCGTGGCTACTATTCAGGGCCCCGCGGCCGACGACGACGGCGTGCGCGCGCGAAGAAAAAACGAATGTGTCCCGCATGGTATTATTTGACAGGGATGATGGCCCTGGCAGGTGCGCAACCGTTGTTGCAGAAGTTCGAAAAAGTTGCTCGCAAAAGCCCGTTTGACAGAAATGTTTAAAAAGTGTTGGGTTTCCTACGAATCCGCAAGAGCGCGCGGGATGAAATTTTGACATTTTTTTTGAAAAACCATTGGTTTTTTGATGTTTTTATGTTAAAATCGCTACGAAAACTAAGGTTTTGGAAGGATTTCGTCTTGCGCGCGCGAATGTCCACTTTACCTTATTTTTTGCAAGGGATTCTTGAAGTTTGGATATGTTAGAACAAGAAATTACATTTTATAGTGTTTTTTGCAAGGGAAAGCGGGCGTCAACAAAACAACCGGATCTGGATGACATCGTTTTACCTGAGACTTCCTCACGAAAATGATGAAAATGTGGCTGCGGCCGAGGCGCGGCGGGGGGGTCGCGCACCAGGGGTCCCAACAATAATTATTCTTAAGAAGAAATAATGTTCAACAACAACAACAACAACACATCGTCGTCGGCGGCGGCGCCCAGAAACCTCTGGAGGCCTCTTGGGGCATCCGGAGGCCCAGGAGGGGCCCGAAACAAAACAAAGTGTCCCCGGAGTCGCCGCCGCGCCTCGAGCCCCTCGAGTCTCGAGCCAAGGCAGTGCCCGCTGGCCCCCTCGAGCCTCGAGCCACCAAGATGCCTTGGAGCCGCTCGATGGTAGAGGCCTCCCAGATGGGGCGGGGGAGTGCCAACACATTGTTTCCCTCTGAGGCCTCGGACTCATGCCATACAGTCGGGGCGTTGACTTAAGGAACCCTGAATAAGGAACGAGGCCCCTTTTTCCCATAAGTTAAACTTCGATTTCCCATCGAAACCCTAAGCAAAACCAAAGGCGAACCGCAAAACAACTAAGGAACACCGAGCCCCTCCCCAACGAAAAGGGTTCCTTCGTCAGCGCCCCGACTGTATTCATCTGTCAATGTCCCTCCCGCCAATGATCCATGTTGGCGGTGGGTTGGAGAAGTCGCGCGTCGACCGCAGCGTTCCCCGTGCGTGCCGGCCCTGAGTTTTGGGGGGCGGGGGAGTGCCAACTGATCTTTTCCCTCTACCGCAGAGGCCTCCAAGAAGGGGTCGGAGTAGATGGAGTCGGAGGATCTCGCCGCATCGCTGATGCATCGCTGATGCATCGGCGATGCATCGGCGATGCGCTAGCGACGTCGGCGATGCGTCGCCGCCGCCGCCGTGAATAACATCGGGCTCCACATCGAGCCGCATCGCCGCTGCATGGCGATGCGGCGCCATCCTCCGGCCCCATCTGCTCCGCCCCCCCTTCTGGGAGGCCTGATTGGACTCGAAATTCGAGCCAACAAAGCGCCCTTCGGGGCCTCGAGCGAGGCCGTCGTCGGCGGCGGCGGCGCCGCCGCCGTCGGCGGCGGCGGCGTCGTCATCGTCGTCGTCATCGTCGTCGTCGTCGGCGTCGGCGTCGTCGTCGTGGCCCGGCAAGGGCGCGCCGCCTCCAGCAGGCTCGCGACGGAGCGCTGCCGCTCCCCGATGCCCTCGAGCTGGTCCAGCAGCTGGAGCAGGTGTGCCTCGTCCGGGGCAGGCCGGGCGTCGCCGCCGTCGCCGCCGCCGCCGCCGCCGCCGCCGTCGTCGTCGTCGTCGTCGTCGTCGTCGTCGTCGTCGCCGTCGTCGTCGTCGTCGTCGTCGTCGTCGTCGTCGTCGTCGTCGTCGTCGGCGTCGTCGTCGTCGTCGCCGTCGTCGGCGTCGGCGTCGGCGTCGGCGTCGGCGTCGGCGTCGTCGTCGTCGTCGTCGTCGTCGGCGGCGGCGGCGGCGGCGGCGGCGTCGGAGTCGGCGTCGGCGTAATCGTCGTCGTAGTCGTCGGCGGCGGCGGATCCCGAACGGACATGTCGAGCCCTCGGCCCCAAGAGGCGCCCAGGAGGCTCCAAGAGGCCCCGCAGAGCCCCCCAACATCTCCAAGAGGCCCCCAAGAGGCCCCCAAGAGAGCTCCAAGAGGCCCCCAAGATGCTCCCATGACGCCTCCCAACTGCTTCCCAGGGACCCCCGAGAGCCCTCCGAGGAGACCCCAAAACGCCTCCACGAGGACTTAACCCACAACCCAGACACGGCTGCCCCGCAGCGCCGCAGGGGCAACGAACAGGCGGGCAAATGCCAGCGATGCAGCATTATGGGTCGGCGGAATAAGCAAAGCAAATACATAGATAGATAAAAAACATTGGGCGCAAAGGCGTGTGAGATGACTGGCTGTCCCCCTCGCCAGTTCCCCTTCCACTGGGGTCTGAACTCCGATTAGGAGGGGGGAGGGGGGACGAGCTCCTAAACGCATCCCCGGGGCCTCCGTAGCCTCCAAATCCAGAGTCCGTGGCCTCCAGGATGCCCAAGATGCCATCTGAACTCGCTCAAGCTGGGCTCCAACACGCTGAGGAGTCATCAAATACTACCAAGATGACCTCAAGAGTGCCCAGGAGGTGTCAAAGACGCCCCAAGAGGGCTCCAAGACGACCCCCGAGAGGGCCTCAAGAAGCAAGAGTCGTCCAAACCCGTACGGGAAACGCATGTTTCAGCATATTAGCATTCTTGGTCTTAAAAGCGTCCAAGACGGCTCAAGATGCCCCTTGATCGCTCCAAGATGAGCCAAAAAGCCCTCAAGAGGACCCCAAGACGGCCGAAGAGGTGCCCAAGATGGCCCAAGAGAGCCCCAACAGGGCCCCAAGAGGGGCCCAAGAGAGGCAGCTCGAACTGGCATTCCTAGCCCGCCGCCACAAGAGGATCCCAGAGACCGCCAGCAGGCGCCCAAGAAACTCCAAAGAGACCCAGAGAGGCCCAACAGAGGCCCCCAAAGGGTCCCCAAGAAGCCCCAAGAGGCTTCACCCGTCGACTTCAGCCCTCCTCTGAGAGTCGGCGGATATGGCGCAAGCCTCTTGACTAATACAGAATCAAGATTGGGCGCGACTAGAATCTGAACGTCCGTACAACGTCCTGTTCGGTGGACCTGCAACTAGAATCTAGAACAGATCAGCCGCCAGGGGCTCGCGGATCCACAAGAGCAGAAGCACTCGCGTCGTATTTCGGGAAACAGGCACGGCTGGATTCACGTCAGGAACACGCGGAATCCCCTTGCTTGATGCACATGCGGAGGGCCAGCCAGCGTGCCTGGCCACCGTACGGCTTGGAAGCTGGACAAGAAAAAATCCGCCGACCTGCGCATCCAGCTCCCGCCAAGGCCGGCCGCGCCACGCGCATCCAGCAGACCCGGCTCTGGGAATGGGGCTTCTCAGTGGGCTCTGCGAGTGTGCTCACTGGGCCATCGGAGTGATATCGGTAGGTGTGCGCAGGCCACGGCGGAGATACGCCAGCGGCAACTCTGTGCAACAGAGGGGTAAGAAACCAGAGGCGAGATTCGCACGGACAGCTGGCGAGCCCGTCCCCTCGTCGAAGGGGCCCCGACTGCTCAGCTTTCGCTGGGAAGGCATGCCATCGACTGACGAGCAACGGTTTTGGTTCGCAGCTGGGCTGAACTGCGCGATGCGATACTGGCCGCTCTCTCTCTCTGTCTCTCTGGCCTCCGGACGCCTGCCGCGTCAGCACACACCGCACGTGACGGGGCAGAACACCCGCGCGGTGGCATCCGCCACCCATGCCCTGGGAGCGCCGCGGAGCGCCACGGAGGGCGGGCTCTCGCCGCCCCCGTTGCAGATCAGCTCCCTCGTGCCCTTCCCGGACTCGATGGCGAACCGGTAGATCTCGCAGCCGTCGCCGTCCGCGTCCCGCCACAGCGGGTCGTCGGCGCACCCCTCCCCCCTCTGCAGCTTAGACTCTTGCAGGGCGACGGCATCGCTGTCCAGCACCTGCTGGTCTGGCGTGATCCTGGAATCGTGGTCGCTCATGTGCTCCTCCCAGGACGCGATGGACTTCTTGGCGACTCCACTGGCCGAGCTGACTCCAACCTGCAGGAAGTTCACGTCGTCCAAGCCGTCCACGCCCTGCTCCGTTGCGGTGGAGGGGGCGGGCGCGGGCGGGCACAAGCCACAAGTGGCGGGGCAGAAGATCTTTGCCGTGGCGTCCGCCACCACCGTCGCCGCAGCCGCTCCGCGGAGACCCCTGGGAGGCGGGACCTCGCCGCCCCCGTTACAGGCGGCCTCCCGCGTGGCCTTCCCGGACTCGATGGCGAACCGGTAGATCTCGCAGCTGTCGCCGTCCGCGTCCCGCCACAGCGGGTCGTCGGCGCAGCCTTGCGAGCTCAGCTTCGCCAGCTGCGAAGCCACCATGTCGTCCGGCAGGACAGTCTCGGCCGCGCTGATCTTGGTCTCGTGATCTCCCAGGTGTGCCAGCCACTCCTCCGCGCTCTTCTGGTGCATGCCCTGGGACGGCGTCATGTTCCGCTGGAGCAGCGCGAGCTCATCGAAGTCGCTATCTAGCGTCTCCGGCTGCGCAGCGGACTGCTGGTCGCACGAGATGACGGGCGGGGCCTCTTGCGCCGGGGCCTCCACTGCTGGGAGCTCCTGCGCCTTGAAGCCACGCAGGCGGGCGTCCGCGGCAGGCAGGAGCAGAAGCAGGAGGCTCAGCTTGCCCATCGTCTCTGGATGCGACAGATGTGTCTTATCTGTTCGGTGGACCTGCACTTAAGAATCTAGAACGTTCACACCACGGGGTGCGTCGCTCGGCCTCGAGCCAACAGATCAGCCGCCAGGGGCACGCGGATCCACAAGAGCAGAAGCACTCGCGTCGTATTTCAGGAAACAAGCACGGCTGGATTCACGTCAGGAACACGCGGAATCCCCTTGCTTGATGCACATGCGGAGGGCCAGCCAGCGTGCCTGGCCACCGTACGGCTTGGAAGCTGGACAAGAAACATGATCGACCCACGAACCCGGAAAGGAATGTAGAACTGTAACACATGGCAGCGTTTTCAAAGACAACTGATTGGGTGACGGGCAAATGCAATGCTGAGTGTATCGATGTACCCTGCCGAGGTCTGTGCTGTGCTGCACCGTGCTGAATTGCGATGTGCTATGCCGCGACTGTGCTCTATAGCGTTGTGGATCGACTCCTCCTTTGCATCCGAGTCCTGACCGAACTGATCTGAATCTTAAGCTCGAGCTGCCTGAACACACAGTAGCTGCCCCAGAGCTAATTGACAGGGGGACATGCCAGGAGGACGCGCCGCGAAACGTCCCAAGGGACGCGCCAGGCGACGTGCCAGGGGACGTGCCAGGGGGTCGCACCGTGGGACGTGCCAAAGGTGACGCGCTACGGAACGGCGTGCCAGGATGTGCCACGGGATGTGCCAGGGGACGCGCCACGCGACGTGCCAGGGGGACTCGCCAAGGGACGCCCCACGGAACGTGCCAAGGAACGTGCTAGGTTGCAATGCTGAGTGTATCGATCTTGATGTACCGTGCCGAAGTCTGTGCTGTGCTGCGCCGTGCTGAATTGCGATGTGCCATGCCGCGATTGTGCTCTATAGCGTTGTGGATCGAGTCCTCCTTTGCATCCGAGTCCTGACCGAACTGATCTGGATCTTAAGCTCGAGCTGCCTGAACACAGAGTAGCTGCCCCAGAGCTAATTGACAGGGGGACATGCCAGGAGGACGCGCCGCGAAACGTCCCAAAGGACGCGACAGGCGACGTGCCAGGGGACGTGCCATGGGGTCGCACCGCGGGACGTGCCAAGGGATTCCTGCGCGCGGGACGCGGCACGCGCGAGACATCCTCGGAATTCTTGCGAGCGGGACATGAAAACAAGCATTTCGCCTGAGACATCCTCTGAATTCTGGACCCCCACGAGGCCCCCCACGAGGCCCCCGCTCGAGACATCCCCCAATTTTGCAAAACCAGCGTTTCGCTCGAAACGTCTTCAACAAATTATGAAAGACAAGCATTTCGCTCGAGACATCCTGCCAAAATTCAAGGAAATCCTGGCAAAACAAACGAATTAGTCGAGACATCCTCAAAATTCCTGCGCGCGGGACGCGGCACGCGCGAAACATCATCGGAATTCCTGCGCGCGGGGCGCTTTTCCGCGTCGCGGTCGGCTCTGCAAAACCAGCGTTTCGCTCGAGACATCCTCAACAAATTCTGAAAACAAGCGTTTCGCTCGAGACATCCCCAACTCTGCAAAACCAGCGTTTCGCTCGAGACATCCTCACCAAATTCTGAAAAACAAGCGTTTCGCTAGGGACATCCTCAAAAATAATTCCGCCGGCTACGGCTTGGAAGCTGGACAAGAAAAAATCCGCCGACCTGCGCATCCAGCTCCCGCCAAGGCCGGCCACGCCACGCGCATCCAGCAGACCCGGCTCTGGGAATGGGGCTTCTCAGTGGGCTCTGCGAGTGTGCTCACTGGGCCATCGGAGTGATATCGGTAGGTGTGCGCAGGCCACGGCGGAGATACGCCAGCGGCAACTCTGTGCAACAGAGGGGTGAGAAACCAGAGGCGAGATTCGCACGGACAGCTGGCGAGCCCGTCCCCTCGTCGAAGGGGCCCCGACCGCTCAGCTTTCGCTGGGAAGGCATGCCATCGACTGACGAGCAACGGTTTTGGTTCGCAGCTGGGCTGAACTGCGCGATGCGAAACTGGCCGCTCTCTCTCTCTGTCTCTCTGGCCTCCGGACGCCTGCCGCGTCAGCACACACCGCACGTGACGGGGCAGAACACCCGCGCGGTGGCATCCGCCACCCATGCCCTGGGAGCGCCGCGGAGCGCCACGGAGGGCGGGTTCTCGCCGCCGCCGTTGCAGATCAGCTCCCTCGTGCCCTTCCCGGACTCGATGGCGAACCGGTAGATCTCGCAGCCGTCGCCGTCCGCGTCCCGCCACAGCGGGTCGTCGGCGCACCCCTCCCCCCTCTGCAGCTTAGACTCTTGCAGGGCGACGGCATCGCTGTCCAGCACCTGCTGGTCTGGCGTGATCCTGGAATCGTGGTCGCTCATGTGCTCCTCCCAGGACGCGATGGACTTCTTGGCGACTCCACTGGCCGAGCTGACTCCAACCTGCAGGAAGTTCACGTCGTCCAAGCCGTCCACGCCCTGCTCCGTTGCGGTGGAGGGGGCGGGCGCGGGCGGGCACAAGCCACAAGTGGCGGGGCAGAAGATCTTTGCCGTGGCGTCCGCCACCACCGTCGCCGCAGCCGCTCCGCGGAGACCCCTGGGAGGCGGGACCTCGCCGCCCCCGTTACAGGCGGCCTCCCGCGTGGCCTTCCCGGACTCGATGGCGAACCGGTAGATCTCGCAGCTGTCGCCGTCCGCGTCCCGCCACAGCGGGTCGTCGGCGCAGCCTTGCGAGCTCAGCTTCGCCAGCTGCGAAGCCACCATGTCGTCCGGCAGGACAGTCTCGGCCGCGCTGATCTTGGTCTCGTGATCTCCCAGGTGTGCCAGCCACTCCTCCGCGCTCTTCTGGTGCATGCCCTGGGACGGCGTCATGTTCCGCTGGAGCAGCGCGAGCTCATCGAAGTCGCTATCTAGCGTCTCCGGCTGCGCAGCGGACTGCTGGTCGCACGAGATGACGGGCGGGGCCTCTTGCGCCGGGGCCTCCACTGCTGGAAGCTCCTGCGCCTTGAAGCCACGCAGGCGGGCGTCCGCGGCAGGCAGGAGCAGCAGCAGGAGGCTCAGCTTGCCCATCGTCTCTGGATGCGACAGATGTGTCTTATCTGTTCGGTGGACCTGCACTTAAGAATCTAGAACGTTCGCACCACGGGGTGCGTCGCTCGGCCTCGAGCCGACAGATCAGCCGCCACGGGCACGCGGATCCACAAGAGCAGAAGCACTCGCGTCGTATTTCAGGAAACAAGCACGGCTGGATTCACGTCAGGAACACGCGGAATCCCCTTGCTTGATGCACATGCGGAGGGCCAGCCAGCGTGCCTGGCCACCGTACGGCTTGGAAGCTGGACAAGAAACATGATCGACCCAAGAACCCGGACAGGAATATAGAAATGTAACGCATGGCAGCGTTTTCAAAGACAACTGATTGGGTGACGGGCAAATGCAATGCTAAGTGTATCGATCTTGATGTACCCTGCCGAGGTCTGTGCTGTGCTGCACCGTGCTGAATTGCGATGTGCTATGCCGCGACTGTGCTCTATAGCGTTGTGCATCGACTCCTCCCTTGCATCCGAGTCCTGACCGAACTGATCTGAATCTTAAGCTCGAGCTGCCTGAACACATAGTAGCTGCCCCAGAGCTAATTGACAGGGGGACATGCCAGGAGGACGCGCCGCGAAACGTCCCAAGGGACGCGCCAGGCGACGTGCCAGGGGACGTGCCAGGGGGTCGCACCGCGGGACGTGCCAAGGGACGCGCTACGGAACGTGCCAATGGATGTGCCACGGGATGTGCCAGGGGACGCTCCACGCGACGTGCCAGGGGGACTCGCCAAGGGACGCCCCACGGAACGTGCCAAGGAACGTGCTAGGTTGCAATGCTGAGTGTATCGATCTTGATGTACCGTGCCGAAGTCTGTGCTGTGCTGCGCCGTGCTGAATTGCGATGTGCCATGCCGCGATTGTGCTCTATAGCGTTGTGGATCGAGTCCTCCTTTGCATCCGAGTCCTGACCGAACTGATCTGGATCTTAAGCTCGAGCTGCCTGAACACAGAGTAGCTGCCCCAGAGCTAATTGACAGGGGGACATGCCAGGAGGACGCGCCGCGAAACGTCCCAAAGGACGCGACAGGCGACGTGCCAGGGGACGTGCCATGGGGTCGCACCGCGGGACGTGCCAAGGGAACGCGCTATGGAACGTGCTGGGGACAAGCGTTACGCTCGAGACATCCTGTCAACATCCTCAGGATTCCTGCGCGCGGGACGCGGCACGCGCGAGACATCCTCGGAATTCTTGCGAGCGGGACGTGAAAACAAGCATTTCGCCTGAGACATCCTCTGAATTCTGGACCCCCACGAGGCCCCCCACGAGGCCCCCGCTCGAGACATCCCCCAATTTTGCAAAACCAGCGTTTCGCTAGAAACGTCTTCAACAAATTATGAAAGATAAGCATTTCGCTCGAGACATCCTGCCAAAATTCAAGGAAATCCTGGCAAAACAAACGAATTAGTCGAGACATCCTCGAAATTCCTGCGCGCGGGACGCGGCACGCGCGAAACATCATCGGAATTCCTGCGCGCGGGGCGCTTTTCCGCGTCGCGGTCGGCTCTGCAAAACCAGCGTTTCGCTCGAGACATCCTCAACAAATTCTGAAAACAAGCGTTTCGCTCGAGACATCCCCAACTCTGCAAAACCAGCGTTTCGCTCGAGACATCCTCAACAAATTCTGAAAAACAAGCGTTTCGCTAGGGACATCCTCAAAAATAATTCCGCCGGCTACGGTTGGCGCTGGACAAGAAAAAATCCGCAGAACGCGCATCCAGCTCCCGCCAAGGCCGGGCCACGCACCGCATCCAGCAGACAGGCTCTGGGAATGGGGGCTTCTCAGTGGGCTCTGCGAGTGTGCTCACTGGGCCATCGGAGTGATATATCGGTAGGTGCGCGCATGCCACGGCGTGTAGATACGCCAGCGGCAAACTCTGTGCAAACAGATGGGGTTGAGAAAACCAGAGGCGAGGATTCGCACGGACAGCTGGCGAGCCCGTCCCCTCGTCGAAGGGGCCCCGACCGCTCAGCTTTCGCTGGGAAGGCATGCCATCGACTGACGAGCAACGGTTTTGGTTCGCAGCTGGGCTGAACTGCGCGATGCGAAACTGGCCGCTCTCTCTCTCTGTCTCTCTGGCCTCCGGACGCCTGCCGCGTCAGCACACACCGCACGTGACGGGGCAGAACACCCGCGCGGTGGCATCCGCCACCCATGCCCTGGGAGCGCCGCGGAGCGCCACGGAGGGCGGGTTCTCGCCGCCGCCGTTGCAGATCAGCTCCCTCGTGCCCTTCCCGGACTCGATGGCGAACCGGTAGATCTCGCAGCCGTCGCCGTCCGCGTCCCGCCACAGCGGGTCGTCGGCGCACCCCTCCCCCCTCTGCAGCTTAGACTCTTGCAGGGCGACGGCATCGCTGTCCAGCACCTGCTGGTCTGGCGTGATCCTGGAATCGTGGTCGCTCATGTGCTCCTCCCAGGACGCGATGGACTTCTTGGCGACTCCACTGGCCGAGCTGACTCCGACCTGCAGGAAGTTCACGTCGTCCAAGCCGTCCACGCCCTGCTCCGTCACGGTGGAGGGGGCGGGCGCGGGCGGGCACAAGCCACAAGTGGCGGGGCAGAAGATCTTTGCCGTGGCGTCCGCCACCACCGTCGCCGCAGCCGCTCCGCGGAGACCCCTGGGAGGCGGGACCTCGCCGCCCCCGTTACAGGCGGCCTCCCGCGTGGCCTTCCCGGACTCGATGGCGAACCGGTAGATCTCGCAGCTGTCGCCGTCCGCGTCCCGCCACAGCGGGTCGTCGGCGCAGCCTTGCGAGCTCAGCTTCGCCAGCTGCGAAGCCACCATGTCGTGGGGCAAGACGGTCTCGGCCGCGCTGATCTTGGTCTCGTGATCTCCCAGGTGCGCCAGCCACTCCTCCGCGCTCTTCTGGTGCATGCCCTGGGACGGCGTCATGTTCCGCTGGAGCAGCGCGAGCTCATCGAAGTCGCTATCTAGCGTCTCCGGCTGCGCAGCGGACTGCTGGTCGCACGAGATGACGGGCGGGGCCTCTTGCGCCGGGGCCTCCACTGCTGGGAGCTCCTGCGCCTTGAAGCCACGCAGGCGGGCGTCCGCGGCAGGCAGGAGCAGCAGCAGGAGGCTCAGCTTGCCCATCGTCTCTGGATGCGACAGATATGTCTTATCTGTTCGGTGGACCTGCACTTAAGAATCTAGAACGTTCACACCACGGGGTGCGTCGCTCGGCCTCGAGCCAACAGATCAGCCGCCAGGGGCACGCGGATCCACAAGAGCAGAAGCACTTGGAACAGCAGAAGTTCGACGATATGGGCACGGGGACCGATAAAGGGAAATTGGCGCAGGAACATACACCATGCGAGGTTTGCCTATGACCACCGTCCAGCAGGCACTGAATGGAATGTTCACATGCCCTCAGTTGTCCCGAACATTGCACACCAACATGATCGACCCACGAACCCGGAAAGGAATGTAGAACTGTAACACATGGCAGCGTTTTCAAAGACACCTGATTGGGTGACGGGCAAATGCAATACTGAAGGTATCGATCTTGATGTACCCTGCCGAGGGCTGTGCTGTGCTGCGCCGTGCTGAATTGCGATGTGCCATGGCGCGACTGTGCTCTATAGCCTCGTGGATCGAGTCCTCCTTTGCATCCGAGTCCTGACCGAACTGATCTGGATCTTAAGCTCGAGCTGCCTGAACACATAGTAGCTGCCCCAGAGCTAATGGACAGGGGAACATGCCAGGAGGACGCGCCGCGAAACGTCCCAAGGGATGCGCCAGGCGACGTGCCAAGGGACGTGCCATGGGGACGCACCGCGGGACGTGCCAAGGGGACGCGCTACGGAACGTGCCAATGGATGTGCCACGGGATGTGCCAGGGGACGCGCCACGCGACGTGCCAGGGGGACTCGCCAAAGGACGCCCCACGGAACGTGCCAAGGAACGTGCCAAGTTGCAATGCTGAGTGCATCGACCTTGATGTACCGTGCCGAAATCAGTGCTGTGCTGCGCCGTGCTGAATTGCGATGTGCCATGGCGCGATTGTGCTCTATAGCCTCGTGGATCGAGTCCTCCTTTGCATCCGAGTCCTGACCGAACTGATCTGGATCTTAAGCTCGAGCTGCCTGAACACATAGTAGCTGCCCCAGAGCTAATGGACAGGGGAACATGCCAGGAGGACGCGACGCAGAACGTCTCAAGGGACGCGCCAAGCGACGTGCCAAGGGACGTGCCATGGGGACGCACCGCGGGACCTGCCAAGGGGACGCGCTACGGAACGTGCTGGGGACAAGCGTTTCGCTCGAGACATCCTGTCAAAATCATTTGAAT